TCGCTTCAATTGACTTGAGTTTATTCTCAAGGCAGACAATAGTATTATTCAAATCATTTATCTCCTGATTTCTTCCCCTGACTAAAATAGTTAAATCGGACTCAAGACGACTGTTTTTATCTTTTTCATGAGCAAGTTCTCGCTTAAGTTGGCTTACATTGGTACGTTCGGTCGCAAATTCGATCTCAAATTTCTTTTGTAAAATAACTAAATCAAGTTTTATCCCTTCAAACTCAGCAACCAGAATTCCGCAGCCACAAGCACAATTATTATTATTCAGCTCCATATGCTCAGTCTGGAAATGATTATTGACAAAAGCGGGAGCTGAACGATGGATAGTTCTGCCTTGTGTACTCCCAACCGGGGAAGGGAAATCGACGGCGGCATTCATATTTCTGTCCGATAGGTTAGGAAAATTACACGCACTTGTAATATTTTGCTGCGACAGTTTAATTTCATTGGAGTCTGGCAAATGTGGCTTTAGCATGGACTGAGTTGCTTGTTCGCAAAGCAATATACATCGATCTCGCACCAAAACACCGTCTCTACCTTTAAAAAGCACAGATTTTGCTTTACCTTAATGCCATGTGACTACTAAGTCAGAGTTTGTGCTAGAAAACTTCTTCGACTGGCCCCCAGGTGATGACCATTTGCCTTCAAGGCCCCACACTTCTCGTACAATTCGTTTTAAATTTGTTAAATCACCGGTCCACTTTAAACGTACTCCATCATAAGACATGCCAGACAGTTTAGTGCAACTAGCACTAGTAAGAAAGGAATTCAGACAACTATTTTCATTTGTATTAGCAACATTTTGATGGAGCTTATTAAGAGCACGTCCTTCCGCCATGATTGTCACTAGCCATAGCTGTAGCTATGGCTAGTGACAATCGTCCTTCCGCCATGATTGTCACTAGCCATAGCTATCACATAGCTGTTTTGCGAAATTGAGAGCAAATTCGTATCTGTTCAGGGTTTTTTTCACCCTAAATAGCTAAATGAACATTTGTATCATTTTATGAAGCTTCCATGATTGCATTTTATTTTAATTTGAAATTTATTAGAATGAAAAATGACGTATACCTACTTTATATCAGTGTTGTAACGAGTCGAGTCAATGACTCGGACTCGAGTCAAGTCGAGTCGCTATTTTCAGTGACTCAACTCGAGTTCAATACGAAAAATGACTCGACTCGAGTCAACAGCCCCAAATGACTCGATTCGAACTCGACTTGCTGATTTTTGCCCTAAATGACTCGAGTCAAATCAGCTACAACTTGTATAGAATAAATTCATCAAAATTATTGTGACTGTATTGCTTGGGAAGAACAATGAGTCCTTCATGTGAACAATGAGAACTTCGAAATTTTATGACAAAATATATGTGAATTTGCATAGAATATATCCTTGACGGGCATGTCTATTGCATTTCTGTTTTTAGGAATAACGCTAGTGCCACAGTTTTTAAGGAGTCTCAAAATTTTGTGTACTTAATACTAATTTTGACCGGCTCTTTTCATTTTTGGTATTCAGTATGAAGTGCTATATCATTTTAAATTAACTTACAAAGCGTAATTAATTAAAGTTTATTCTTTGTTTATTCTGACATCAACTACAAGTTATGCTAGTTGTATTTACGTACACTCGATCAGCATGCAGACACGATGCGACATCTCATGTGGTCGTATACGTACTTTTAAGTACGTATACGACCACATGAGATATCTCATCTTGCCTGCTGATCGAGTGTACGTACAAAGAACTAGCATAAAACAGAAATGCAATAGGTATGTCCGTCAGGGATATATTCTATGCAAATTCCCATATACAGGGTGTCTCAAAAAAACCCCCGCTAACCTTGGAAATTCACCATTGTTCTAATTTGAATGCCTGAGTGCTATCTTGAACTCATGGGTAATTTAAGACAATAAATACTCTTTGCTCTGTGCTCAGTTGAGCCATTTGCTTGACATTCACTAATGTGTAATTGAACGATTTTTGTGCAGTTATACTTTTGTATGAACTATTTTCAATTCCCAGGATAAAAAATTTCGCTTTTCAAGGATATTTTAATTCCGAAGATCTTTAATATATGCATCCTGTGAAAATGTTTGCGCATTCATGGCTTCAACAAGGTTCAGGCATTCAAATTAGAACAATGGTGAATTTCTAAGGGTAGCGGGTTTTTTGAGACACCCAATAGAAAGAAAACAAACTACAATATACAGTAGAAAGAAAACAAACTACAAAGATCTACAAAGCCTCTGCGGAGGAGAGTGACTCAGGCATTCAAATTAGAACAATGGTGAATTTCCAAGGGTAGCGGTTTTTTGAGACACCCTGTATTTTCTCATAAAATTTCGAAGTTCCCATTGTTCACATGAATGACTCATTGTTCTTCCCAAGCAATACAATCACACTAATTTTCACCCCACGCTTTCTGTAATGGTTCGCTACCCTAGCTTGTAGTCTGAAATTACTATTCAAATTTACTTTTTAATTAAGCCAATTATAACTTTAATTAGTCATTTAATAACAGTATCTGAGCAGCTAGGCTGTACCAATATATCACAGTTCTAGTCAATATATTAAAATATTCATCAAAATATTGACTAGAACTGTGATATTGGTACAGCCTAGTTGCGTAATTTTGAATACTTCATGTTGAAACGATGTTTAGGAAAATAAATACGTGACGTAAAATTAGCAATTTCCCAATCGAGCAAAGACTGGATCTAGTTGATGTTTGGAGGGACGTTTGGAGGGACAACCATAGATATCTTATATAAACTAGATAGCGCATCTCTTTTAGTAAAATTGAAGCCAAGAATATCTCAGCGGTTACCCCCATTTGAATAGATGGCGGCCATGTTGGAGCTTCCCACTCGCTAATAAACGCTTAAAAAATAACAATAACTTTCATCATTTGAATAGTTTGAAAATGTATTTATAATAGGATTAACTTAATGTTTAAGTTGCCTGTTTAAGAAATAGGATACATACGAATCTTCTCATTTCATGGGAAGATCCTGAGCCTGCAATCACGGCTTCAATTTTTGAATTGCAGAATAATTAGATGCGCTATCTAGTGTATATAAGATATCTATGGGGACAACAAGTTATAGTGAGCGAGCTAAATATATATTAAAAGAGGCCGTATTATAATTGTTGCGTTTCAAGCTGCACAAATGACTTTAGGAATGTAGGAATTTAAAACTTCCTATAGATGCCACATTCGGCATATTGTTTGTAATTAAAAATGCAATACATTTGACCTGACTTGATAACTTTCGTATTGTTGGTTTTTTCTTTTTCGGCCGTATACTAGTGGATTCGTCTCACTTTTCTCTTTATTTTGTTAGCAGTTTGAGCCCAAAATAACTGATATTTTGAAGGTTTTAATGTGCAGTTTTAATAAGCGAAATTGTATTGTTGACAAATCGCTCAAAATTATTAAACTAATTACAAATGCAGTCCGTTTGATCCCTGGTAACTTCGGAATTGTTGGTTTTCTCGTTTTCGGCCGTATGCCAGTGGATTCGCCTCACTTTTCTCCTCATTTTGATAGTATTTTGAGCTCAAAATATTTTATTTTGAAGGCTTTAAAACGCAGTTTTGATCAATCTTTTTTCAGGAAACTGTATCAATTTCCCGTTCGTAATACAAAATGACTGAAAAACGGCAAACTTCGCAGGGCTATATTATCCGCATTTTACAACATTTCGCAACGAAACTTCGGAATATTACTAATTTTGTAATGCTCTTTCAAACTGTGATGAAATATTTGTCTAGACTTGTCTGGATCAAAATTTTGTTCATTAGGGAATAGCTCCATTTGACATTTGACATTGGACAGTCTTTGTTCATTATCCCAGTCGACGCTGATTGGTTCGCGTTTAGCAGATGTGAAAAGGGGATAAATGAATAAAACGCATGGTTCCGTGCAGGCTAACCTTTCTTCCCGTACGCCTGCTCGCAGGCTAAATTTTAGGCAATTTCATACGGGAAATTAGGCGGGAATTTCCGGTAACGGCCGTTTCCGGATTCGGTCGTTTCGGTTTCCGTTCGTTTCGGTTTCCGTTCTTTACAGAGGCCCTTGTTGATGACCTTACTTGCCAAAACAGCCATGATTCTTGTTCACGTTATAAAACGGTTATATTATGAATAATATATCTGGTTGACTTTAAATTTGTCCTTTCAGTTTTGTTAATATATTCATAGTAAGGTCGAAACTATATCTTTAACTGAACAACTTTTTTTCTAAGCATTAGAGATAGGGAGCGAATGCGAATACTCTATCTACATTTCTATTGCATATTAACGTTACGATTCAAAAACAAAATTTATTTTTAATTCCAGAAAAGACAAGAACAAGAAGTGGTAAATAATGGTATTGATAATTTGAAACTAATTTAGATAGAGTAATTGTTTGAGACCAGTTTGAAATTAATGGGTTGAAGTCAGGTTGACTCAAAGTTGAAGTTAGCTTGAGATATGGTTGAGGTAAGATAAGTTAGGCTGAAATTAAATTGAGGTTGGGTTGAGATTAAGTGGAGGTGCATGAGGATGAGGTTAGGTTGAGGTTAGGTTGAGCTTTTGGTTGAAGTTAGGTTTAGGGTAGTTGGAACTGGAAGTTTCCCTCAAATTCAGTAAAGATTTATTGATTCATTTTTTTCGACAGGAACAAAAATTTGTGATGATCTGTACAAATCAGGCAAGACAATCACCGGGGTGTATACAATCGACCCGGATGGCCTGGGAGCGTTTACTGTTCCTTGTGATATGGAAACCACTCCAGGGAGGGGCTGGACTATATTCCAAAGACGTATAGATGGCTCTGAGAACTTTAACAGAACCTGGGCGGAGTACAAATCCGGATTTGGCAATTTGTCTGGTGAATTTTGGCTCGGATTAGACAAGATTCATCGTCTCTCAGCCAATGGACAGAATTGGCTGAGAATTGATCTCGACACTTTTGAAAACGGGGCAGCTTATGCATTGTATGAATCCTTTTCTGTGGGAAATGAAAGAGACGCTTACGTTTTAAATATTGGTAACTACTCAGGTAATAATCAATATATAGATATAAATTCCACTACCGTAGGAAGCAATTTTGTATTGGAGGACGGGGGAGGGGGTGGCTGATTAGTCAGGGGCGATTATTAGGTCATTGTTTCCCTCTCAAACTTTACAGATTGTCGCTAGTTTAGAAATTGTTGGGAGGGCTGAAGCCCCTCCCCCCAGCTTCCCCTTGCTACGGCCCTGAATTCTTTGCATGCTTGCAATTTAAAACATAATTCTTAAACTCATTGTCGTGTTTATATTCATATTCATGCTACTTCATGTATGTATGATATAGTGGATTAAAGGATTTGAAAAAGAAAGCACGTACGTGCAATTCTATACAAATCAGGGTTTATTTTAACGTGCAGCTCTACACAAAATGTGCATTTCTAAACCCGTTTGTGCAGTTCTTAAAACTCAAATGTGCAGTTACCAAATTAACAAAAATATAACCTCAAAACAGTCTTCTCATTTACGCGTTTTCCTTGTGGATGCTCCAGATGCCAGAAATATTGTCATTGAGCATCAAAAATCTAAATGTTTTCTGGGAGAGGATCACCAGACCCTCATATTTTCCAGCTCACAAATCACATACGTGCTGGGGGTAATGGAACAGGAGGTAAAATTAGTGTGAGCGAAGCTATCCAAAAGAGATTAGAGTGGGAGAACCTAATATTCTTTGCTGCCTAAGGTTATTATATATTGAGTATTCATGATTCACAGTTACATGTTTTGAAACAGTTTTTGTGGGTGGTTGGGTGAAACAAATCTTTGGCAGAACTTACGAGCCTCTAAATTCAAAATTGGGGGGAGTCCCCTACCTGTAGCTCTCCCACCCAGAATTGAGTTTCTCTTGTCCCACCCAACCACGCCTTTATTCTGCCACCTATATACAAGTTAAGAGTCATAATTTACAATGTTAACTATAAATTTACAACGTTAGATATAGATAAAAATCCTTTGACCCCCCAGTCAAGCACCCTTTGACTCCCAGTCAAACACGTGATGCTTTGTAACATCCTTAATATGTGCAGTTCTAAATTTTTCTTAAAATAAACCCTGATACACATTACTGATTTATGAACAAAAAACAAAGAAAACCAGCATCATATCGTTGTCTTGGTAACATGTGTATTATACACCATGAATGAAACGAACTATCGCTTTGGATTTGTATAATAAAATTGGTAAAATTTTAGCTCCTTTAACACCAAATATTTCCGAGAGAAGGGGAAATAACAGGAAACATTAAAGCCCACGAAGTTATTGAAACTCCTACACGTGACAAACATCACGGTAACTTGATTGGCTAAAATATCATGAATTATTAATGATTTTGTGAATTTTTGTTTAATATTTACTTCGCAGGGACAGCAAGAAATTCTTTTAAATATCACAATGGAATGAAATTCAGCACTCTAGACGTAGAGAATCATAAGTCCCAGAAGACTAACTGCGGAAAGGCATGGAAAGGCGGATGGTGGTTTAACAGTTGTAGTAATGCCTACTTGAATGGTAAATATCAAGAACCTGAAAAAAAGTTTGGAAAGCCAGGTATTTACTGGAAAGGCTTGGTCTCGCCGGACGGAAAAGATGTTTTAAAGGGCAGTGAAATGAAACTAGGACCTGCTAAGGTTTAAAGCGCTCGTTTAATTACAAAACATTTTGAAAACTTGGTAAAACGCTTTTTAATATAATGTAGCTAACTAGATGTAGAATAAGTTTTATTCAAAGGTTTTGGCGTAACGCCTATGCGCACACGGAATGACCTGGTCAACATATGGTCGAATATTAATATTTTGTCCACATGTACTCTCCCAGGGCCGTACACAGCGGGGTGGGGGGAGGGGGGCAAGGCCAGAGAAAACTATATTTACGATTTTTAGAGTGTTATTATTAATTATTCTTTGGATATTTGGGACTTTTTTGGCATGTAGGCTTTACTGCCCCCCCCCCTGGTGAAAAAATCTTGCGTACGACCATGTACTCTCCCGAGGAAATTCTGCATTTGACAGATCGGAAACATATATCCTATTTCCAGAGTTTCTTTTTCCGTGCGTGTTGGTACCAAAAATGATGTAACTCAGGCTGTTTTGCTGCCATTTCTATGCTCATGATAAAATGGAAAGCGTTATTTGTGAGACGTAAAACTACCGAATGTAAGAATTAACGCCTCTCTCTCTCTAATATGCAACCCAGATTTTTATTATATAGATCATATTAAAATTAGACCATTAAATTAATAATAATTATTATTAAACCATGTTTTGTGCGTATACCGCGTGCGTAAAGAACGCATTACTGGAAAGCAGCCTCATCATAGAAATAATAGACCTAGAATGCGTGCTTGGTCACGTGACCGGTGTCCAAATTGAAAATAAAAATGCCCTTATAAATCCGCCATATTGAATTTGAACATAGAAGTTCAAACTACATAGAATAAACAAAGTTAAACTAAGTTTTTATTGTCAAAACGTTTTGTCTTGCTGTCTAATTTGTAGTTTAGGGATATATTTTAAAATATTATTCTTTAAAGGCTCAAAGCAAATGTGTATTTAATGACAAAAACGGTGAAAATCGTGCAGCCTTGTAAAAACAAAGTAGTTTCGCGTATTAAAATACAATTTACTCATAGAACATTTTTGCCTGCTCTGAATGTAACTGCATGCTTCGCTAGTATTTTATTAAATTACAAAATGATAGTTTATTCTTCGTCGGGTTTCGTTTTTCTTCAATCTGGACGAAGTGTAATCGTTGAAAGCTATGGTTTCAAAAACGTTGCCTCAAGCTCGAGCAACGTAGTTGTGTAAGTTTAAAAAGATTACTAAACTACATTTATATTAGAAAACAGCTGAAATATTTTTCAAACACTCATTAATAATTTATAAGCTTATTGACAAATCATGTCAACCATAATATGTCACGTGCAGTGGCTTTAAACCTGATAAAACACTCCTAATTATAGTATTCTTTATATAAAGAATACTAATAAGGCAATATCTACTGTAGTCGTGTCCTCACTAGTATTCTTTATATAAGAATACTAATGAGCTGCGCGCTTGTGGCTTTAAACCTAATAAAACACTCCTGCTCGTTTATTGAGCAGCACTTCAAACATACCTTTAATAGTATTGAGTTTGAGTTTGATCATTCGTATTTTGTTTTGGCTTGCACAACAACGTTGAAAATATATTTTCAAATGACGATTTCTGTATATATTCTGTTCAGAACTATTGCTTTTCGTAAAAAAAAACCGGAAATGTTTTTTTTAATGTTTTTTCCACTTCAAATCTCGATATATAAATTGTTTTTGCAAACTTTGTTGACAAAAAAAAACAATTCGCGGCTTCGCGCACTCCCTGCAACCACGCAAAATTCCTTGCTGAAGGAGTCTGGGACTAGTCAAAATGACCTTATAAATCCGCCATTTTGTGGAGACAAAATTTTTACTGAGAAAAGATAGGAGCACGCATTCTATGTCTATTATTTCTATGAGCCTCATGCATTTAAGGTAACTGAGGTTGCAGGCATTGTTAATGACCACTTGCCTTATAGCGATAACCGCTATGCATGACGGTAGGAGTCGTCACTTTGCAATCGAACGACACGGAGATTGTAGAAGTTAGCGATTTGGTTTTGACGATGAAAATGCGGATTTTCAACAACTTTTGCATCCATCAATAAATTTTAGGGACTGGTCATAAAGTAACTGCTAGGGTGGGCCGGAGGGAAAAATAGGTTTTCCAAAAAAACCCTTTACGTGGCCCATCCTGAGAACCTAGAAAAAATTTCAAAGCCCATCGTAGGTCATTGGAAAATTTTACGATTTATCCTGAATATGTACAGTATAGCAGTTACTTTGATCAAACCATGCACTGAGTTAGTTTCATACTACTGGTCCCTTATCCACAATGAAAACAACGAGAGCTCTGAACAACATGCACATGCATTTTCATGGCGTTACGTGTATTAATGTCGAGGAGAATGTATTGGCAAGCCAGGCAAGGAGGTGACAAAAAAACTGACCTCACGAAAAAAACCCAGGTAAATTCGCGTTTTCAATTAAGATCGGAATTTTTTTGCCAAACTGATCGATTAACTTTCACTGACAGTAGTTTGTATTGAATCTCTAGGTTATTTAAATTGGATAAGTTTATGAATGCCATCTTAAGCTTTGTGAATTTGACACCCGTACCTTTGTCACCATCGAAAAGTTTGAAGTTTTCATCCAGAGACCAAGCGTCTCTTTCACTTTGACCATTAATATTCCTAAGCTTAAAATAATTTGCTCGATCTGGATAAATTGACTATAGCTATAGCAAGAATATTTCATAACAAAATGTTATGAAAAATTCTCTATTTAATCGTTGTACGTTTTCTAATTCTTTCAGATCTATTTTGCAGTAAAATTTAATCTTTTGGGTGGTATTCCATGTTGATTGTAACACTGTCAGTCTATAACCATTTGGTCAGGGAATATTCCTGTATGCAGACTGCAACTGAATATTAAACCAAGTTCATGAATCTTCCTAAAGCCACCGTGAAAGATTGATTTATAGGCTATTATCATTACAAAACAAACCCATGCATGCATAGTTTATTACTATAGCACAATCTAAGCACGCTAAAATAAGATCTTACAGTTAACTGTAACAAGTGATATGCAATAATACCGTAAACCTCCGACTATAAGCCCCCCGAATATAAGCCCCCCCCCCGTGTATAAG